GTCCAATTAGGTCACTGTGAGTTGAAATCAACTCAGGGACAGTGGGCTTGGTTTGGGGCATTAACATCTTTATCTTTTAATAAAGTATTTATTAACCAAGTATTTGTGGCCAAGAGATGTTATGTACTGGTCATTTGATATAGACAAAACAGAAACACCCTCTTCTCTGAGGCAGTAAACTTTCCGATATTCTAATCTCATTTGAATAGAGAGACAGTGTGGCACTGTTGATCAGGTTGGTGCTTTTTAATCACTGCTTTTACTCAGCCTGCCCATTAAGTAGCCTTCTAATTACTATGTTAACACCGACCCATTGCATTGAAATTCACAGAGGATTGTCTGAATTGTGGAAAATGTTCCCTGGGTTTATAGAGCAGTTAATGGGATTTGAATACCTGGCTCATACTGAATGAAGTTGTGAAAGGTAAAGACATTCCACACATGCCATGGATTTTAGGTTGTTTCTTAAAGAAACTTGCAAACTTTAGATTAATTTTCCTGACTGGTTCTGTTAGACAATTAATACATTAAAATGGAAATTGAAGACTATAAACAATTTGAGGGCATGACCATTTTTGTGTTTTGTTTCATTTGTTTTTGTTTTTATAGCCAAAAGAAGAAATGAGTTATCGGTTTTGGTCTTCTCTGTGTTACCGTGGATTTTAAGCAGACTTTAACAGATACAACCAGAGAGCACTTTAACAGCTATCATGCTTTATTTGGATAATTCAAAATGACAGGCTAGCACTTTTCAGTACTTGGCACAGTCAGAAAATAGTCATGCCATCCAAGTGGTTTCCCCCTGGATTAGAGGGGAAAGGGTTCTATAACAAGGGTTCAAGAAACCAGAATAGTTTTATTTTCAAATGTTAATTCTCACCACGTGCACTACAAATATGAAACACACACACACAGTAGCTATGTGAACCTTTTCACAATTTAGTTGGCTTATTCTGAAGGAGCCTTTCAGAGGACCTGTCAGAATTATAAGAATAAGAAACCCAATTGATAAAGTCTGAAATTGCAATAGCAACCGTTCAAGAGTTAACATTCCTTTCTAGCCTGAAGATTTCTTATTAATAAGATTAGTGAAAATCTCTTTTTCTGTGGCACCCTTTTTGGAGAGCTAGAATAGAGTACAATCTTTGCCATGTTGGTTTGTTTTATGTGGAGAAAAGTGTAGTGGAATTCTCATTAATATGCGAAATGGAAATGTGGAACACAGAGGTGCCATGATTTCATTCAAATACATTTGGCCATTCAGCAATATTGTCAGTTACAGAAACCAGTCCTCCTGCCTCGTGTTTTTCCTCTTGACAAAGTCCTCGCATTAAGTCGAGTATTACTTTCACCGACCCAATTTCCTCAGCCTTTTTTCCATCTGGAGTTCAATAGTGTGTTCGGCCAGGTTGACTAGAGAAACAAATTCAGAAACACTCATATATATATAAAAGAGAACTTTATATTAAAGAGTAATTTTATATAAAGAAAATATCCCAGCCCAGTCCTGATCAAATCCATTAGTCCAATATTATCCAATAAGTCTGATACTAGTCCATAAATCCCTATTCAGACTAACACAATCACATGCAATGTTGCAAAATGCAGGAAGATCACAGGCCAGTGGTGGTAAAGCTTTGTGAATCTACTGGCGGTGGAGGCATCTCAGCTCTGGTGCAGGTGTCCGTGTGGCTCCTCTAGCTCTCCACGTGTGGCTGCCGTTCTACAGGACAGTGAAGCAGAGAGAGAGGATCCTCCTCATGAGAAGGTCACACCCACAAAGAGGCAGCATCAGGCAGTGATGTGATTGACAGGCTAAACTCCACCCCTTCACTCTTAATATCTTCAAGTTGACATGAGAATATAAAACTACCACAAATAGTTAAAAAACAAAAACCTAAAAACAGGTTTTTAAAAATCAAGCCAAAGCTTTAGAAGGTTTTATTTTACCAAACCTTAGATGAAAATAATGCATAAAGTCATTGTCATTCCTTTGTGAATGGTTGAGAAGAACAACTTAGCTAGAATCTGATTTTTAAATTGTAGCCACAAATTGCGTACTATCAAATATGATAGTAGTCATCAATTCTTATCTTTATTTAAAATCCACCTAGAGGAGGTGCTCTAATGGTGTGGTGGTTCTGCCTGGCTGCTCACCACTAGCCGCTCCTCAGGAGAAAGAAGGGACTTTACTACTCCCTTAAAGAGTTAGTCTTGGAAACTTACAGAGACAGCTCTGCCCAGTCCTACTGGGTCACTATGAGTCAGCATCAACGCCATCACAGTAAGTTTGGTTTGGGTTTTTGGATGTAAGTTGTTGAATGTTCACTAAGTGCTGGACAAGTTTACAGGTGCTGGGAGTACATAGAGGACCCCTTGTGCAGTGGTTACACTTTAGATTGCAATTTGCAAGATCCATCATTCGAACCATCCATCAGGGGCTCCAAGGGACAAAGACGGGGCTTTCTACTCCCGTAGACAGTTACAGTATCAGAAACTTAAGTTTCTGACCCTGTCCTGTAGGGTCACAATGAGTTGGCATCAGTGGCATTGAGTTTGGGAATACACAGAGAAAACCATGGACCCAAACCTCAGAAGTAATCGCAGTCTGATTGAAGAGGTCAATCGGTAAGCAGGTACATGGAATGAATGCTATAGTTAAGACATGGAACGTGGAGGGGAAGAAGATTGGAGAAAGCTTCCCTGAGGAGGAAAACTTGAGCTGAATCTGGAAGCAAAGAGTACAAGTTTTTGAGCCAGTAAGATGGCTAAGTGGGACTCCAGGTAGGTTAACAGTGGAGAGAAAGATTAGAAACTTCCAGTAAATTGGCGTGACTAAAAGAGAGGTTTATTTCTAAAGCTATAGCAAGATCCCAGACTATGAAAGGCCTACATGTTATGCTGAAATATTTGGATTTTATTTTGTGTTGTTTTGAGGAAACAATTGAAAGATTTTGAGCCAGAGAATGACATAATCAAATGTCTGGCTTAGAAAATTTTTCTAAACTTACCATTTTCTCTATCATATTTCATTATTTTTCTTGCCATACATTAAATCAACTTCCCTATTAGAGAAAATGGTTATCTTGTTTAACCTAAGTCTGTCATTGCATTGATTTTAGATAGTTCCAATCTTGGTTGAAAGCTATGAAAATGACCACCCACCCAGATAGTTAAATTTTAGGAGCTCACAGTAGTGAGACACAAAATTCACTGCATCTGACAATCTCATTTCTTCATACATATATATTACTGTATAACATGAGGCAAAAGAAGAACATTTTGTTTTGGGCAGTGGCCAACACTCTAAGCCTTTTAGCACACTTGGCACAAGGACGTCGCAGACATTTGTTCCAATGCACAATCCTCACATGGTAATGATCCTTCATCCCAAGTACATCATTCTTGACAGTGAACCATAAGAAACCACTGGTTGATGTGTTTTACATTACACATTACACAGTTTCTTTCCATTGACAGATTTATAGAAGCAAGAGCATTTGCTAAGCATAACCTAATCAGGACCTTTAGTTCCCAATCCTCATGCTTTTATTCAGAGAGGATTGCTATTGTCTATTCTTACTGCCAGCAAATTGGCTCAAAGCAGGGAACTTGATAGGAGACCTGCCTCAGAGAATCAAGGTCCTTCTTACTGGTGTTTTTCATTTCTGCAGCCTGAGGGCTCACCAGATTTCTAGCCTCTTTTCTAGCCTGTTTTGAAAGCCACAAGTCTGCCTCCACTTCCTTTCCAGCTCATGGCAGTGCAGCCCACCTGTGCAGCCCACCTCCTCTCCAAGAAACCGTGGTTGTCTTTGCCTTGCTCTTACCCTTGTCCTTGACCATCTTCAGACCTGTCAGATATTCCTATATTTCTGATTCTGCTCTTCCTTGGTTATGATTTTCCAAACCATAACTATATAAAAGCAACTTAATATTTTGTCTCAGAGTGTGTGTGAAGAAACCCAATGTTTGTAACAGAGCAATCTAAGGCTGCAGAGTACAATGGTAAAAAAATGGTTTGGAGTCAGAAAAACTGACATTTATTGAGTTGGGTTGATAAAATATGCCAGTTACCGAATTGATTTCCTTAAACGTAGCATAACAGCTTGGTTAGGGAGTTTAACATACATGGATTGGACTTTTGAGAGCTTATTATACATACCCACAGCTATTAAAGGGTAGTTCTGGAACTCAACTCCAGGAAAATCTTTCTGCTTGTAAGCTTTCACCAGAAAACACGATCTCTCAAAAATGAATCATTAGATAACGTCAGTGGTTTTTTAAATAATCCATCACCATGACATAGTGTTTTGAGATCTATAAAATGCTTTCATTATATCCCATTTGATCTATATAGTAACACTGTGAGGTAAGTCTACTTCTCCTTGTTCTACACAAGAGAAAGCTGAGGCTTAGTAAGACTATGTGACTGGCACAATGAAGCCAATTATAAATGGCCGATCCAGTCTTCTAAAACTTAAGAAAGGTCACCTAGGATATCACGCCGCCCTTAAGTGAGCTACACTTGCATCGTTCACCCTACTGAGAGTCTGCGCTGTTTATTTGCTGCTGTAGCTACACGTTTGTTAGACAGTAATGCTGGTTCTTGAAAAGGGAAATGTGCGCATCTCTTCCAATGCACTCCCAAAGTTCTACTATATTCACTCCAGATTACACAGAATCTCTATGTAATGTTTATGTTCTACTGGCTTAGGAATCTCTGAAAGGAAAAACTGTCTGTCTACCTCATAGTATTGTTTCTGTCCTCCATTAAAGGAATAAAGAAAATGGGGGAAATGGCCTCTCTATCTATGTGCTTTTTACCTGGAAAGGTTTCTTTGGGATCTTATCACTGGATAGAACTATAATGGTGATATATTGTTTCACAGTACTTTAGTTGGCTTTCAGAAATATCCCTTCCCCTAATGTGGACTAACATACATTTTACCACTTCAATATTTATTTATCTATATTTTTTCTTGCCCCCTCCCCTTTTCTAGGTTTTGTGATGAAGGAACCTGCACAGATAAAGCCAATATTCTTTATGCCTGGGCAAGAAATGCTCCCCCCACAAGACTCCCCAAAGGTACAGCAGGGATCTATGAGATAGTCATATTAAGCTACTAATTTCTGATTCTAAACTGCTTTTTACTGTAGACCCTTCCAACAATTGTTACCAATGTCCTTTGTTGCAGTTTCACCCTAAAAGTACTGGAATTACATGCTATGTATTGAAAATCTTTCATTTAGGCAGTTAACTCTTTTTTTCTGCTTTCTACACAACATTTTAGTTTAAAATAAATAAGCATGCCGGTTTTGGCCTAAGGCACACTGGTTCTAGACAACTGGAGCAATTTATGAGCCAAGGGAGCTAGGAATTAAATAATTGCTGTTTCAGCAAACAGATTTTTTTTCATATAGCCCTGGAAGGTAGGTATTAACATGATGCCAAACCTCTGTTGGTTTTCTGACCTCACCTTTAAACTGTTCATAGCTTCCAACACAAAAGGGAGTTGCCAAACTCTCTTTCATTACCTGAATGCTTCTTAATATTAACGGGATTGTAGTTCCCTCTGGCACATTCTCTGATGTGTCTGAGATAGTGACATGTAAAGTGTGTGTTCTCTTGCCCTGCTCACTCATGCCAGCATCGCTAATTGCTGACTCCTTGCCTTGCTTCAAATGAGCCTCAGGATTCTCTGCTACTAAACATATTTGGAAACTAGTAGGTGTAGCAGTCACAGATTTGTTGAAATTTTAAAGATATCTTAGTAGATACGATAGAAAAAAATATTTCCCCTGCCTATAAATATGTTCTCTGTCAATTTTTTCCCTAAGTTTACAGCAAACTCTAATAATGACTATTAGGAATCCTAAGATTCCAAAAATCTACTGATGCACTGCAATCTATAATCTAATTGGTCTTTTTTAATGATATATTTGCAGATACTTATTTTCTTATGGGGAGGAAAGTAATTCTAAGATTATGAAGGTGTATATTTTCTATAATGAATTAGGAAATATAAAACAATGTGAATGTAAAAACCAAATGAGACAATGGTTTTTTATGTCTACTTGTTCATCACTGAGGATACATTTTAAAATTTTCAGGGAATGAGTGGTTAATTTCAGTTTTCATATCACATAATTCCACATGTTATATACTATTTTCTTTCCCCTTGAATCTCAGAGTTCAACCTGGAATTACATCCTCTGTTTCTATTTTCATATATTAATTTTAAAGTTTTTATCATTGAAATATAAGTATATGCTCTTTCCAACTCTAGGTGTTGGATTCAGAGTTGGAGGAGATACTGGAAGTAAATATTTTGTCCTGCAGGTGCACTATGGGGATATTAGTGCTTTTAGAGGTAAGTTTTTTTTGTTTTGTTTTTTTAGAGGTAAGTTTTGAAAAGTTGGAACTAAGCACAATGTTTATTACTATATTTTAAATATAAATATGAACTATTAGTACATTATTTAATACATATAAATGAGCTATTATTTTAGAATTAGGAAGTTCTGAGAAAATGCATTTGTTTCCTTAATTGGGACTATTAAAGAAATTCTGTTCATTTTGAAAATTTTATTCTCTGATGCATATATTCATCCTTTTATACCTTATGCTTGTATTCAGGGTTATTTTGTCCTTTCTATTGTCCTGTAAGGGATTCTTCTGCATAGCAAACTCAGAAAGCATGGGAATTTAGTTTATGTAATTACTCTGAGCAAGACTTGAAATATGCCACAGGATCTGCAATACCATCGGAGAGCTTTCAAATACGGGGGTTCATGTCATTGCTTGATTAGTAACCCAAACCTTCTACTCCATGAATTCAGCCACTGTCTACTGTGCTAACACACAGACCCCCAACCACCCATAAAACAAATAACAGAAAGCTGTTGCCCTTAAGTTAGGTCTGACTCATGTACAACAGTGCACTCCAGGGTTTTTCATTCCAGTTTCTCAGGGTGAGTTTGACCTCCAGCCTTCTAGTAGTCAAACCCATTGGCCATTTTTTATATCCCAAGCTCACCTCTGAGCAGCCTGAAATGCTGCTCTGCACACCTGTTGCTCTACGCCTGTTTGCAAGGCACCTCATTAGAAATCCTCTTATAGACTCGTTAACATGAGGAAGGAGCCCTGTTCCCAAGGCAACTGAGACCAGACCGGTGCATGTTATTCCTTCTGTTGTATTTTGTTAAACTCGAACTGCATTCCCAGTTGACAATCTTGTTTTCATGGGAATGTAAGTTTTATGCAGTTTACTTTATGGCTTGTCTACTATGTCTTGCTGATTTGTATACATTCCTTTGAACTCTCTAATTTAATATTGTGTTTCTACTAACTAACCAGACATATTTCCTTCCAAAACACATTAGATTTCTTTCTAAAGCTACGTCTGAAAGTAAGTGTCCATTTTTGCCCATGAAATATCTTCAGGGGACTTGAGTGCACAGCCTCATGTGGTGAGGGTCCATCGATTCTTGGCATACAGACTGGGGCAGTTAATGCTGTCTCCCTCTGGAAGATGGTGTTGGAATAAAATAATTTTATATAATTGGAAAATTATAATTAGCAACAGAGTCAGTTGATTATCAATTAAACAAGCTACTATCTAATGGCTCATGAATCTAACTTCCAAATAAAACATGTTTCTGAATTAAAAACGTGCTTTGAGTTATAAACAAAAAGTTTTCATTTTTGGAATGAAATCTAATCTTAAATTGACTGTCTGCAGTGCTGAGCCAATAATTTGTTGAAAACAAAGGAATATATACTGTTTGTTCTTGAAGAACAAAGACAGAATTATCTACTGTAGAACAGGCATATTCTAAGACTTCTACCTTCCTACGCATTGATTAGTTCTTAATATTATTCAGAAAGGCAAAAAACATGCTTCCCTGATCACCACTACTAAAGTTGCCCATCTTGCACCTCGTTCTATAAAACCTTGGGCTTCACTTTTCAGTCTAATTTTCAGTCTACATTGATACCCCAGGGAAATTTGCATCAAGGAATGTTTTGTCATCGTGGCTGTGTATCTGCTCATTATTTGAGAATAGCAAGGACTCTTCTGAGAATTCTGTGGGAAACTGGCCTATCTTGTCCATTCAAACATTTTTTTTATTTCCAAATTCAAAGAAGTTATAGAGGAACATTGTTTGAGTCCCCCGAAGATGCCAGAGCAGTGAATTTGACATGGTGCAAATCCAACAACACAGAATTCTTTGAGGAAAGGTTAAAAATAACCGCTTATCCAGTCAGTTTCAGCTCATAGTGATGCCGGAGGAGAGAGTAGAACTACCCATGTGGGTTTCTGAGACTGTAAATCTTTACCAGAGTCGAAAGACTCATTTTTTTCCTGTGCAACAGCTAGTGGTTTCAAACTGCTGACCTTGTGCTTAGCAGCCAACACATAACCTACTGTGCCACCAACTCTTCAGAGAGTTGAGAGATAGTAATACCACTTTCGGAGGTATATAGACCTAGATGAAGGCTATGTTGAGAAAAAATATGCTGTATAGACCCAGAAAGAAGATATGTTGAGAAACAATAGTTTCCGTTTCAAAGATTTTGAAGAAGTACTTTCTAACTTACCTGTGCCCATCCTTGTATAAACACGCACTCATGCACTCACATATATACACACACTAGCTTCATAATTTTTAAAACTAATTTTCTACATATGAAGCATACATTTTGTCTTAATTTATGTTTATTCTAGTGGTAATCAGCAGTGATATTTTAATATGTAAATTGTCATTCTTTATGGAAAGAGGTAGATGAAAAACTACTGTTTTTTCATTTTTTACTTATTCAAAAACCAAACCAAGCTCACTGCCATCAAATCAGCTCCCACTCAGAGCACCCCTGTAGGACAGAGTAGAACTTGCCTGTGAGGTTCCGTGATTGAACATCTTTCTACCGGAGAGAAAGCCTCAGATTTCTCCCGCCCAGGGGCTGGGGATTTCAAATTGCTGGCCTGGTGGTTGGCAACCCATTGTGTAACCCACTGCACCACCTGGGCTCCTGGCTTTCAAAGATCGCCTAATTTTAAAATGTATTTATGGCACAGAAAGATTACAAATGGTATAATTCATAGGATGTATCCTATTGAATGAACATATATAAAAAAATAAAATATAAATGTAAACAAAAATGTTCACGGGGTGATTCATTCAGGACACATTCCAAACCAGCTCCACTGCCTTCAAGTCCACTGGGACTGACAGTCACCACATACCGTTTCCAAAGTGTTGGAGCTCTTTACAGGACCAGACTGATCGTTCTCTCGCTAAGAAACCAGTGGGTTTCCACTGCCAGACCTTGCTTGTAGCGGTCCGACATTTGCCTGGCAGTATTGCCAAGGCTCCTTCAATATAAATTAGATATCACCAGAGCCCTTAAGCTATATATGCTTGTGAGTAGTAAGCAAATACATGGGAAAATCTCAAACTTTCCTGAAACAGAGATGGTATTTCACATTTATTAAACTGAGCTGGGTGGAAATTGAATCATAAGATTCAATTCTGCCAGAGTTTTAGCTAATTTGGTATAGTTTAGGATGATTATAAATTGTTACAATTTCTTGGAAAGCTATTTGACTATATTATATATACATAAAAACATATTTCCCTAGATTTTTAATCCTGAAAAAATTAGAATAAAAGTGTGAGCCAAGTACACACCATGCTTCCTGCACCAGTAACTGTTCATATAAACAGCTGAAAAGATAATTCGTGTCCCTTAATAGGGGATTGACTAAATAAAAGACCTAACAAAAAGCAACATATCATAAAAATGGGTTGTATATTCATAAGGGCCATAGAAACAAAATGAAGAGCTGATGTTCATGGAAGATGGTATTGTGTGATCTGACCCTCTAAAATATAATTGTATTCTTAAATTCCACAAGTGAAAGGACCATCCATTAGTTTACTATATCCCTAGTCAGACACTTGGGACAAGAAAGAGTGAATATAAGTCTCAATATGCCTGATTTCCCACAAGGAATGACTTGCCCTTAATAAAATTCTACGTTGTGATCACAGACGTATCTTCATTTGCAATGAGAATTGAAAAATAATTATATCATTAATTCTTTTTAAAGTATTAAATCTGCATTGTGTGTTTGCATACATACATATAAAATCATATTACTGCTTTTAGTACTAGTATCAATAATGAAGATCATCTACATACTTTTGACATGCTGTCAGAAGAGACCGGTCCCTGGAGAAGGACATTGTGTCTGGTAAAGTAGAGGGACAGCGAGGAAGGGAAGCCCCTCAAGGAGACGGCTTGTCACTGTGGTTGCCCCTGTGGGAACAATTGTAAGAATGGTGTGGGACTGAGCAGGGTTTCCTTCTGTGGTGAGTGGGGTGGCTCTGGGTTGGACCCACTCATGGACACCTAACAGCAACAGCATCATCAAAAAGAGCGGAACATGATGAAGTTAACAATACTGTTTCTTTATTTAAATCAGAATCACACTCCTGGGACATTAGGGGGAAATGAAAAGGGGGAAATGTTTGTTTCAAGGGTGGGAGGGAGTAGAGGTTTTTGAAAGGTGAGAAGCTTAGAACCTTTCTTTAAGGAAATTCCCAGCAGTGAGGGGAGAATGCTGGCAAAGACTTGATGGAATATGATAATGAAGAACCAAGCAAACCCAAAAACTCAAAGCCATTGCCCCCATTCCTTATAGGTAAGAAAGGATTAGGTGTGTGATTAGAGTGGGTTCTTTGGGACTATGTGGGATGTTTGTTTTGTTTTACTTTTTTATTTTCAAAATTGCACAGAATATGAAGTTGAAAAGCATTTTTTCAAAAGAGTCAACACTTTAAAATGAGTGGCAATCAGAGTATGCAGCCTATGCTGGGTGTACAAACCTTCCTGCCTGAAGGAAGTATCCTAGTAGGGGGGGTCCGCACAAACAGACAGTAATTGACAGATACCTATAAGACAGGCTATAAAGAGGGGCGAGTGTGCAGATCTGCCTGGGAAAGGCAAGTGGCCTCACTTGAGAAAGACCTCTTGGAAGTTAAAGCCAAAGCAAGGTTTTGATGTGTGCTCAGGAGCTCCCAGGTTGTCTAGGGCAAGAGGAAGACACATTTCACACAGAGGTAAAGGTATACACAGCACCCAGGAGACCTGAAAATACAAGGGAAGAAGTGGCAAAAAATGACCGCAGAGGTGAAAGGAGAGGGTCAGACCCTAGAGATCCTTGTTTACTTTCTGAGGACAGTGTCCAGTCCAGTGTCCAGTAAGAGGACTTACTGCTTTTCCACAGAGTAGCCCTCTGGTAGTTTTATTCCATCAAGCTGTTTAGTTCTAGGCTTGAGTGGAAAAGCTACTAGTCTTAAGGAG